TCCGTGCCCCCCAGGTCCCCTGCCTAGGGCAGGTGGAGGGTCTGTGCTGTGGTTCCTCACAGCTGCCCGCCTGGCTCTTACCGTCAGAGCCCAGCGCTGCTCTCCGCAGAACTGGTCTGTGGACGGAAAGCGGAGACCCACGGATTCACAGGGCTCTGTCAATGCCTGTGGGATGCCCAAGTGGATCTTTGGGGCTGGGCTTGGGCCCCCCAGTCCTTGGGGCTCCTGGCTGAGCATGTTGGGGGTGGTGAGCAGGGGCCGGTGCCCCCCAGGATGGGGGGCAACACGCTGACCCTGACCTGTTTGTGCATGCGCCGTGATTTCTTCCGACATGTCCAGGTGCTTGGCCACAGAGCTCACGTTGTCATAGGCGTAGCGGCCTGGGGGTTCAGAGCTGGTCAGCAGGGGGTACGGATGGGGGTGGGGTGCAGGGAGACCCCCATGGGATGCGGGGGCCTGGACAGCCACCCCAATGGGGTACAGTACAGACCATCCCTTGGGAACCACGGGAGTGGGCCCAGCGCTGGGTGGCTGGAAGGGGGTTGGATGGATGCAGACATGGGGCGGATGGAAAGACAGACACACAAGGGGCAGAAGGACCCCCGGGTCAGGGGGACAGCTGGGGCTCGGCGTGCGACTCACCCTCACACCGTGGCTCCTCCCCCGACCACTGGCCCGAGTTCTGGCAGACGCGGCGGGGAGAGCCCCGCAGCACCAGCTCCCGGAGGCAGGTGAATCTCACGGCTTGGCCTGGCTCGAAGACGTGGCCCTGGCGATGCCCCCCAAGGGGGATGCCTGGCCAGGGGCACAGGGAGTCTGCAGGGACACAGACCCCAGCTGCATTAACCACCCGGGGTAGGGGCTGCATGGTCGGGAGTCCCCACAGAGTGGGGATAGATGGGAATGGGCGATTCCCGCTCCCACTGCTCTAACCACCAGCCCCCACTCCCCGCCCAGAGCCCGGAGAACCCAGGCGTCCTGGCTCCCAGCCCCCACCCAGTCCCACTCACCCTCGGGGTCGCACGCGGCCGTGCGGCCGCTCCACTCGCCGTTGGCCAGGCAGGTGCGGCGGGCTGTGCCGAAGAGCCGGTGCCCGGGCTGGCAGTGGAAGGTGATCGTGTCCCCGACCCGGTACTTGTTCTGCCGAGGCTGATGCCACCCGTTCTCGAAGGTGATGTAGCCAGTGCAGGTGTAGGCTGCAGCGGAGAGAGGGGAGGCGCAGGACTCCTGGGTTCTCAGAGCGGAGGGGGGTCGAGTGCGTTAGAGCAGGCGGGGCTGGGGGCTAGGACTCCTGGGTTCTCTCCCCGGCTCTGGGAGGGGAGTGGGGGCTGGGAGCTAGGACTCCTGGGTTCTCTCCCCAGCTCTGGGAGGGGAGTGGGGGCTGGGAGCCAGGACGCCTGGGTTCTCTCCCCAGCTCTGGGAGGGGAGCGGGGGCTGGGAGCCAGACACCTGGGTTCTCTCCCCAGCTCTGGGAGGGGAGTGGGGGCTGGGAGCTAGGACTCCTGGGTTCTCTCCCTGGCTCTGGGAGGGGAGTGGGGGCTGGGAGCTAGGACTCCTGGGTTCTCTCCCCGGCTCTGGGAGGGGAGTGGGGGCTGGGAGCTAGGACTCCTGGGTTCTCTCCCCGGCTCTGGGAGGGGAGTGGGGGCTGGGAGCCAGGACGCCTGGGTTCTCTCCCCAGCTCTGGGAGGGGAGTGGGGGCTGGGAGCCAGGATGCCTGGGTTCTCTCCCCAGCTCTGGGAGGGGAGTGGGAGTCTAGTGGTTAGAGCAATGGAGGCTGGGAGCCAGGACTCCTGGGTTCTACTCACTGATGCAGGAGGGTCTCTGGGCTGACTCGAAGGCATTCCTCAGAGGTGACCACTTCCCGCTAGACTGACAGACCCTCCAGCTCACAGGGTAGGCGTAGCTGTTCGGGGGGCAGCGATACTCCAGGATGCTGCCATTGGTTCGGATCTTGGGGTACACAACCTCACCCCCTTGGATACCTTCCGCATCCCCACAAACTGCATCTGGGAGAGAAAAAGCAGGGGGCTGCGGGTTGGGAGTGGGGGGCACCTGCAGGGCTGGGGGGGCAGGGCTGGGCTGGCAGGGGGCTGCGGGTCGGGAGTGGGGGGCACCGGCAGAACTGGGGGGCAGGGCTGGGCTAGCAGGGGGCTGCGGGTCGGGAGTGGGGGGCACCGGCAGAGCTGGGGGGGCAGGGCTGGGCTGGCAGGGGGCTGCAGGTCAGGAGTGAAGGGAACTGGCAGGGCTAGGAGCGGCAGGGCTGGGGGGCAGGGCTGGGCTGGCAGGGGGCTGCAGGTCGGGAGTGAGGGGAGAGGGGCGGGGGGGCGGGTGAGGGGGCTGCAGGTCGGGAGTGAGGGGGACCGGCAGGGTTGGGGGGGGCAGGGCTGGGCTGGCAGGGGGCTGTGGGTTGGGAGTGAGGGGCACCGGCAGGGCTGGCGGGGCAGGGCTGGGCTAGCGGGGGGCTGCAGGTCGGGAGTGAGGGGCACCGGCAGGGCTGGGGGGGCAGGGCTGGGCTAGCGGGGGGCTGCAGGTCGGGAGTGAGGGGCAGTGTCAGAGTTAAGGAGGGCCCAGGCCCCCGGGGAGGTGGAGGAGGAATTTCTTACCACACAGGCCGTGTCGGAGGAGGAGGAGGAGGAGGAGGAGGAAGGGGACGTGTTCCATGGCCCCAGAGTCTTTGGGGGGTCTGAGCAGTGGGGAGAACGGAGGCTCCTTTCCAAGCTGGGCAGGAAGGTGGAGTGGGGGGAGGAGCGTGGGAGCTGATATTTTGGTCTCTGAAACCTCTAGCTGGAAAGAGGAACTGGCATGTGGTTCCCAGAATATGATGCTGCTTTATCCCTCCCCAAGCGAGGAGAGAACCCAGGAGTCCTGCCTCCCAACCCCCCCACCCCCACTCTACCCACTAGACCCCACTCCCCTCCCCAGGCTGGGTTAGAACCCCGGTGTCCTGCCTCCCAGTCCCTTCTAACCCACCAGACCTCACCCCCCTCCCAGAGCTGGGGAGAGAACCCAGGAGTCCTAGCTTTCTCAGCACCCTCGATCTTGGCTACCCTCCCCCTTTTCCCCACTTCCTCTGTCTCTGAAACAGAAAAACTGAGTCAGAAAACCTGGTCTCCCCCTCCCTTGAGCCAGCCAGTCCCCCGGTCTGGGGCCAGATTGAATCCCATGCTGCCCAGATGGGACAGGCCCCGTGATCCACCCGCCCCCCCGTACCTGGCTGGAGCTATGCTCAGAGCTGGTGGGGCTGGGGTTGGATTCTGTCGGCTGATCTCCTCTCTCTCTATATCTAAACACACACACACACCGTGTGTGGAGGGAGGTGCCCGGCCTGAGCCCAGCCCCACCTAGATATCGATTTTATGGGCACACTAACCATCCTGCTACACATCCTGTACTCCTGGGTTCTCTGCCCAGCTCTGGGAGGGGAGTGGGGGCTGGTGGGTTAGAGGAGGGGGCTGGGAGCCAGGACTCCTGGGTTCTCTGCCCAGCTCTGGGAGGGGAGTGGGGGCTGGTGGGTTAGAGCAGGGGGCTGGGAGCCAGGACTCCTGGGTTCTCTCCCCAGCTCTGGGAGGGGAGTGGGGGTTGGTGGGTTAGAGCAGGGGGCTGGGAGCCAGGACTCCTGGGTTCTCTGCCCAGCTCTGGGAGGGGAGTGGGGGCTGGTGGGTTAGAGGAGGGGGCTGGGAGCCAGGACTCCTGGGTTCTCTGCCCAGCTCTGGGAGGGGAGTGGGGGCTGGTGGGTTAGAGGAGGGGGCTGGGAGCCAGGACCCTGGGTTCTCTGCCCAGCTCTGGGAGGGGAGTGGGGGCGGTGGTTAGAGAGGGGGCGGGAGCAGGGCCCTGGGTTCTCTCCCCAGCTCTGGGAGGGGAGTGGGGGCTGGTGGGTTAGAGCAGGGGGCTGGGAGCCAGGACTCCTGGGTTCTCTCCCCAGCTCTGGGAGGGGAGTGGGGGTTGGTGGGTTAGAGCAGGGGGCTGGGAGCCAGGACTCCTGGGTTCTCTGCCCAGCTCTGGGAGGGGAGTGGGGGCTGGTGGGTTAGAGCAGGGGGCTGGGAGCCAGGACTCCTGGGTTCTCTGCCCAGCTCTGGGAGGGGAGTGGGGGCTGGTGGGTTAGAGCAGGGGGGACTGGGACTCCTGGGTTCTATCCCCGGCTCTGGGACGAGTGTGGGGACGAATGGTTAGAGCTGGGGGGCCTTGGAGCCAGGAATTGTGGGTCCTATCCCAGCTCTGGGAGGGAAGCAGGGTCCAGGGGTTAGAGCAGCAGGGGCTGGGAGCCAGGACTCCGGGGTTCTCATATTTGTGCAGGGGGCTGGGTGCAGCTGCACGGGAGTTGATGAGTTGATATTTTGAGTTGATATTTTGGGAGCTGGTTCCCTGCACGGGGTTTCACTTCATGTTTCCTTTTTGCTGTCCTGCTCTGGGCGTTGGGGGTTCAGAGAAATCACAGCCCCTCAGGTGACCAAAAAAGGGAAGGGGAGGGGGTGGGGTGGAGGCAGCTGGCCGGAGGGAGGAACTCTCATCGATCAGAAGAGAGGATAGCGGGGTTGAGACACAGAGAAAGAAAGAGAGAAAAAGACGCCGGAGGAGGTAGGCTCTGGGGGGTCAGGGCAGAGGTGGAATCCCCCTTCTGAGGGCCCAGCTACCTCAGCGCCCTCCCCAGCCCCAGCCATGAGGGGCTAAGTAGGGGTTGGTCCCTTGCGGGCAGCAGAGGGGATGGATCACTAGACCTGATGTGGGGCGGGCAGGGGCAGGGTGGGAGGATGGGAATTGGGGAGCATGAGGTGGGGTGTGAGGTGTAGAGACAACAGAGGAGCTGAGCTGAGGAATGGGAAAGCAGGGAAGAAAGAAATGAACGTGGGAAAGAAAGCCAGGAAAAAGGGAATGAGAGAAAGGGAACAAGACAGACAAGGGAGTGAGAAGGAAGGAAAGGAAGCAAGGAGGGAGCAATGAGTGAACTTTAGGGGCCCTGCTCCCAACTATAGCTCTAATCCTCCCTCCCCCCAACCCCGCAGATGGCTGCCATTGTTCCTGCCCTGGCCCGTCTCCACCCGGCACTGGCCATCCTGGGCAGTGATGCCCAATGCCACAGCCTGGCCCCCTGGTATTTCCTCCTGGGCCTCCGCCTCGTTGCTCTCTTTGTGGCTGGTGGACCGTGGGCTTCGGTGAAACCAGAGCTGGCCTGTAACTGGACCTCGGTCAATGGGGACTCCCAACCGTTCTGTGCCGCCCTGCGCTACAACCAGCGCTTCCGAGCCCCCATCTCCTCATTCTGGGGCTTCGCCTTCCTCGCCACCCTGCTCCCCATGGGCCTCATGCTGCTGATTCATGCCCAGTTCAGCCAACGGGCTGCGGCCAGAGGGGACAAGGAGTCAGCAGGACCAACTGATGCAACCAATATGGCCGCCAAACCCAACATGGCTGCCAAAACCAAGCTGGCTGGAGAGCCCAATATGGCCACTGGAGCCAACTGGGTTGACATAATTAATATGGACTCTGAGTCCCAACGGGTTGGCCAGTCCAAGATGGCCACTCCAGGAGCTAAGATGGCTGCCTGCTCAGCCTGGCGCTCCCCAGCATTTGGTTTATGCGTGGTGCTGCTCCTGGCTACTGAGCTGGGCTTCTTGTGGGCTATGCTGGCCCTACAGTTACCCTTGGTGTCAGGGGCCTACTTCCAGTGCCGCCCTGGGGCTCCCCCCTGCCCCCCGGCCCTGGAGTGTGCCCTGTCGGGGCAGGCAGACAAGAAGATGGCGCTGGTGACTCTGGCCTTCACAGCCTGTGTCAATATAGCCTCCTGTCTTGCCTATGGGTGTGACGAAGTGGGACTGTTCTTAATGTTTCCTCTGAATAGTGTGTGGGTGCCTCAGTTTCCCCTAGGCAGTTCTTAAGTATCTAGGGGGTGGAGTAAGGGTGTATGATCATTGCAGAGCCCTAGAGGGCATGGAGGAGTCTGGACACAGAGAATGGCCGACACCCTGTTTCCTGGGAACTGATGGCCTGGGCCCTTCCCCCCCTGCAAGGTGAGAGCTGAAGGGTTGGAGAACAAAGGAATCAGGTGACCACCTGGCCGGGAAAGGAACAAAGCCCAGAGGAGGAGAGGCTGGAGGGGGTTTTCAGTTTGGGGCTGGCTGGGACATGGAGTGAAGTGCAGATGTGGTTGTCTGGCTCCCTGCCCCCCAAAATGGACCCAGCTGAGGGGTCCCGTTCTCTGCACCTGCAAGCTCTGTTTTAGACCATGTTCCTGTCGTCTAATAAACCTTCTGTTTTACTGGCTGGCTGAGAGTCACGTCTGACTGCGGAGTTGGGGCGCAGGACCCTCTGGCTTCCCCAGGAGCCCCGCCTGAGCGGACTCGCTGTGGGAAGCGCACGGAGGGGCAGAGGATGCTGAATGCTCCGAGGTCAGACCCAGGAAGGTGGAAGCTGTGTGAGCTGTGTGTCCTGAAGACAGGCTGCTCACAGAAAGGCGACTGCCCCAGAGTCCTGCCTGGCTTCATGGGGAGCAGTTCCAGAGCATCGCCCAGGGACTCCGTGACAACTGGTGGCAGCGGTGGGATGTACTGCACCCCGTGGATGGTGCTTCCTGCAGTAAGTGACTGGGGAGCAGTAACACAAAGGGGGATTGCCGAGGACCAGGCCTGCTGAAGGCTCAGAGAGGAGCGGTTTTGGGGGGCGGTTAACCCCTGGGAGTGTGTGACCAGCGAGAAGGACTGTGCAGTAGTGGGGTCCCCCTGGGGACTGCGGGGAGCAGTTTCAGGGGCGGAGGAGCCTGCAGCTTGGCCCTGGGAGAGAGAAGGACTTTTGCAGTAACAGGGTCCCCCGGGGGATTGCAGCGAGCGGTCCCAGGGGCGGAGGGGAGGAGTCTGCAGCTCGACCCTGGCAAAGAGGTGGTGACCTCGAGGAGGGCTGGCACACTAGGGGTTCTCCCTGGAAACCGTGGGGAGCTGAGAGCACACAGGCCTGTGAGTCCACAACAACTTGGGAGGAGCGGAGTGATGGCCTGTCTCTGTCTCCTTAAGAAGGACATTGTAACCCAGTGCAAACAGAGAGGGTTGAGCGTTGGAAAGTTCACCAAAGCAGAGTTAATCGTGCAGCTGGAGGAGGATGACCGCTCTAAGGAACAGATTCCTGACCCCAACTGGGGCTATAGCAGGATCTGGGAGCAGCTGGAGCGGGAGCCAGGCATCGCCAAGACTCCTGTCCCCGACCAGACGGGGGTCTTCACGATCGGGTTCCCCATCTAGGGATCGGAGATGGACGGGATTGGAGCTGAGTCTGAGAGAGCAAGAGGACCGTGGGAGACAGCGAGAGCCCGAGAAAGAGCTGCAGAAGCAGCAGCAGGATGAACTGGCGGTGGTGGAGCAGAGAGGCCGAGGGGACCTCCCAGGGGTGCGTGGGGATAGATCCCGGGGGGCCAGTTCCGCAGGGAACCTCGAGACTAAATTGCTGCCCCTGGTTAAGGGGGGGGGGTTTGGATGCCCACCTCACTGCCTTTGAGCAGGCTGGCGATTTGAACCAAGGGGACCCTGCGGAAAAGCCCCGGTGTCTAGCTCCCTTGCTGGGTCCCAAGGCCATAGACTCCGTCAGCCAGATGGGTGGGGAGGTGGACAGGCTCCCACTCCTGACCCCAACCTATATGTCTGTGTGGAGTTTCCTGGGGCCAGGCCCCTTGGACCTCCAGTGGGAGCAGAAGGTGATGGTCAATGGGGAGACATTCTTGGGGTGGCCAAAGGGCATGGGCTGCATAAACCTTCCCACATGCGGCCTGCGAGTGCTATCGACCACCCCTGACCTAATGGAGGGCGTGAAACCGGAAGGGCCTGGTGTAACTCCTACCAAGGAATGGGAGAGATGCTGGGGCATCCATGGGAACGTTGGTGGCTTCGAACTTCCCCAGGTCACCAGCTAAAGTGACCCCGCTCAGTTCGATCTCGAAGGGGGGAGAGATGTGATGAAGTGGGACTGTTCTTAATGTTTCCTCTGAATAGTGTGGGGGTGCCTCAGTTTCCCCTAGGCAGTTCTTAAGTATCTAGGTGGTGGGGTAAGGGTGTATGATCATTGCAGAGCCCTAGAGGGCAGGTGTGTGCAGGGGTCTGGACACAGAGAATGGCCGACACCCTGTTTCCTGGCCACTGATGGCCTGGGCCCTTCCCCCCCTGCAAGGTGAGAGCTGAAGGGTTGGAGAACAAAGGAATCAGGTGACCACCTGGCCCGGGAAAGGGACAAAGCCCAGAGGAGGAGGGGCTGGGGGGGGTTTTCAGTTTGGGGCTGGCTGGGACATGGAGTGAAGTGCAGATGTGGTTGTCTGGCTCACTGCCCCCCAAAATGGACCCAGCTGAGGGGTCCTGTTCTCTGCACCTGCAAGCTCTGTGTTAGACCATGTTCCTGTCGTCTAATAAACCTTCTGTTTTACCGGCTGGCTGAGAGTCCCGTCTGACTGCGGAGTTGGGGGGCAGGACCCTCTGGCTTCCCCAGGAGCCCCGCCTGAGCGGACTCGCTGTGGGAAGCGCACGGAGGGGCAGAGGATGCTGAATGCTCCGAGGTCAGACCCAGGAAGGTGGAAGCTGTGTGAGCTGTGTGTCCTGAAGACAGGCTGCTCACAGAAAGGCGACTGCCCCAGAGTCCTGCCTGGCTTCATGGGGAGCAGTTCCAGAGCATCGCCCAGGGACTCCGTGACAATGGGATCATGAGGCTGGGGAGGGCGGCCCAGTGCCAGGGGAGATAGGGGTGAGGGGTGAGGGAATGAGTGTGGGAAGAAGGGGAGTAGGGAGTGGGGGGAAGAGGGACTGGTTGAAAGATTCAACATGGCTGCCCAGCCCAAACTGGATGGTGTATCCATGACAACTGTCCAGCCCAAGCTGGTTGACGTATCCATGATGGCCGCCCTGCTCAAGGTGATTGGCGTATCCAAGATGGCCGCCCTGCTCAAGGTGATTGGCGTATCCAAGATGGCCGCCCCGCCCTGCTCAAGGTGATTGGCGTATCCAAGATGGCGGCCCTGCTCAAGGTGATTGGCATTATCCAGGATGGCAGGGAAGGGGAAGGAAAGGAGGGAACCTGTAGAATCATGGACTATTGAGCAGACCCCTCTCACAGAGCAGAGACCCCCATCTATCTACCATCAGTGACACGGGTGTGGGCATGGCACAGAGGGAACCTGGACTGATCTTATGGGAGGGGTGAACAAATTCCTCTCCCCTCCCACAATGCACCTCTGCTACTGTGCATGCTCAAAGATGGCCAAGAATGCAGCCACCTCTGGAGTGGGGCATGGGGTCTGGTTATAAGGGGACTCCTCACCTGGTGCTCAGATGTGGTCGTCTCTGGGGTGAGGTGCAGCGGCTGTTTATATGGGGACCCCTCGCCCAGCACTGAGATGCGATCACTTCTGGGGAGGGGTGTAGAGGCTGTTTATATGGGGACCCCTTGCCCGGTGATGAGGTCAGCACTGACTACTAGGGGAGAGCACCCGTACTGAGCCTCCCAGTACAAATTCCTTTCAGAATTGGGTCCTATAGGGCTGATTTGTTGTGGTTCAAACATTTATCAAACTGCTTATTTTGACAACTGGTTTATAAAAGTTATGATTGTCCCAATATGCTCAAAGTTCAACTTAAATACGAGAGACTGTGGAATGGGAGCTGGGGCGGGGGAGGGATGGGAGCCCGGACTCCTGTGGGAGGGGAGTGGGGTCTAGTGGGTTAGAGCAGGGGGTAGGAGCCAGGACTCCTGGGTTCCTTCTAGCTGCAGAGGAAGCTGTGAAGTGCTGGCAAGTTTCCCTTTGGTGGATTGTGTTTTGAGGTCACAACATGGACTGGGGCACAAGGTGGGTGGGGGGCGGAGGCAACTGGCTCGTGTTGCGACTCTCCCAGAAGGAAGGAAGGAAATAAGAGAGGGAGGACGAACAGAGAGAGAGAAAGAGAGACTCAATGAGCGGAACAGGTACTGGGACACAGGCTGCGAGGGTGGGCGGTGGCTGGAAATCCAGCAGGGGGCGTTGTGAGCTGCTGTCACAGTGTTGCGCCCCCCAGGTTGGCGTAAGAGGGTTGGGGTGCTGGGTGTGCGTATCATGGCCCGGGCAAGGGGACGGGGAGCTGGAAAAGTCAGGAGAGAACTCCTTGCCTGGGTGGGGCCAGATGCGGTTGGACTGGTTCTGGATTGAGTCAGAGCTGCAGGAGAAGAGGGAGAGTGAAAGGGAATGTGGGATGGACTAGGGTGACATGGAGAAAGGAAAATGGGAATAAGAAAGAAAATAAAGAAAGAGGGAACAAGGGAAAGAAAGAAAACATGAGAATGGGGAAAGAAAGAAAGAAAGAAAGAAAGAAAGAAAGAAAGAAAGAGGGAGAGTCAGAAAGAAAAAAGAAAGAAGGAAGGAAAGAGAAACAGAATGAGGGAATCAGAGAGAAAAAGAAAACAAAGGAAAGAAAGAAAGGTCTGAACAAGGAGATAAGAAAGAAAGAAAGAAAGAGTAAGGCGAAGAAAGAAAGAATGAAGAAAAAAAGAGGAAGGGGGAAGAAAAAGAGAATGGGGAATGGGAAGAGGAAAAAGAAGAGAAAGAAATGAAGGAATTAGGAAAGAAAAGAAAGAAGGAAGGAAAGAGAAAAGAAGAAAGAGAAAAAAAAAAAAAAGAAAGAAAAGAAAGAAAGAAAGAAAGAAAGAAAGAAAGAAAGAGTAAGGCGAAGAAAGAAAGAATGAATGAAAGAAAATGAGGGAATAAGGGAGAGAAAGAAAAAAGAGAATGAGGGAATGAGGAAGAGACAGACAGAAAGAATGAATGAAAGAAATGAAGGAATTATGGAAAGAAAAAGAAAGAAGGAAGGAAAGAGAAACAGAATGAGGGAATCAGAGAGAAAAAAACAAAGGAAAGAAAGAAAGGTCTGAACAAGGGGATAAGAAAGAAAGAAAGAAAGAAAGAAAGAAAGAATGAGAAAGAAAGAATGAGAAAAAAATAAAGAAAATGGAAGGAGAGAAAGGGGAACCAGGGAATGAGAAAGAAGGAAAACAGGGAAAGCGAACACAAGACAAAGAAGGAGTGAGTGGATGAGAGAAGAGAGAGAA